CTGAGCTTTTGACCATCTGAAGAAGGCTTTCCCTAGGCAGTATTAATTCAGGAGGTGCTAATACCTGCCAGCATTACAGTGGTTGTACACTTCTGCTACTATTTGGTCTCAGTCTGCACACAATGTACAAAATACGAAGCAACAGTGATCAGTAATGTTACAATAGTATATGAGATGTTATGCAGACCAAATTGGCACTTTATTCACCATAGTACAGTGAAAAAATAGTTGTTATTTTCAAGAAGGCTTTCAGTGAGGAACAAGAAAAAAACTTTGAACTATTAAATACAGACTAGAAGAGAAGGGAGAAAAGTGTAATATTTGTCTTTCAAGAAGTTAAAATTAATCACAAGGAAAGCCCACAGAAATAAAATAGCTTCTTTAGGAATTCATGGGCTATTTTTCTTACCTATTACTCCTAAGTCCACAGGACCCAGATTCGACATGTTGTCCCAGCCCCCATCCCATGAGAAACTCTATCTTCTTAAATCAGTTATTGTTAACAAATCATTTAGACTTCTTATTGTAACTGAAAGTAAAACAGTTGAATTGGATTAGGAAAAGCATGACAATCTTGAGAAGCATCACAAGCGCAAGCTCATAGAGCACAAACCCATCACTCTTATTTTGACCCTCAAACCACCTCCTTGACCTTACCTTTCAGGATGGTATATAATCTCTCCCCACAACCCTACCACACCATGAATAGAAGAGTCACTCACAGAAGTGGCCTTATATGAGGCTCATCTCATGCTCTACTGATCAGTCTGGTTAGTAGAACAAGAACAAAGCTCCATCATGTTGCAGGTATACAAGAAGAATTAGGATCTACTCTACCCTGGCAAGATAGAATGTGGCAATGTGGCTTGAAAAGTGCCCCAGCCAAAACAACCACTGCCTTTTTCTTTCTTTTCACCTGTTCTTCCTAGTGTTCTTTTTAAAAAAAATAATCTGCTGTTACCTGCACATCCACCCAGACCTCATAGACTCCAGGCTCTAAGAATCTCAAGAGGAATGGGCATAAAAAACTAAAGTGTTCCTCTTGGCAGGGTCCTAGAACATGTCTCTTCATCATTCAATAAATATTTATTGAACATCTAGTAGCTATGGATACTAAATGAGTATTATAGGTAGAAAGTGCTAGAAATCTCTAGCCCAAATCACAGTTTATTGTCTGGGAAAAGCCAATTTTATTTATTTAAAGTAAAGTTAAATCAATCTTATCAAAAGTGGTTCTTCTCTTGGGAACACTTCTCCACAAAATATTTGTAATAATACTTAATTTAATAAAGAAAAATGTAAAGTCCTGAATTTGGATCCAAAATATCAACTTCAGCAATGCATGATGGGAGTGGTGTGCCTAGTTGATCAATGTGTAAAAATGCTCTGGGGCTTTTGGTAAACTACAAACTGAATATGAGTCAAATGTTATATTGGACAAAAAAGCCAGTGTTTTCTCCAAATATGGCTTATCAAGGGCAATGCCTAACAGGATCCCAAACCTTAACTATTTGGGGAAAATTGGATAAATTTTTTATGCCTTTAAGTCAGGAATAATGATATTGAACACAACAAGGCTAAGGGCAAGACCCTGGGGCATTTCAGTAGAATTCTCCCAGTAGTTTGACATTAGCCCATTAATCAACACTCTTAGAACTATTCACATAGTTCCTGAATTGACTTCATATACTATTGTTTAACATGCATTTCTTTGCATTGGTAAGGTAAACTAACTAGTTTTATGAACTCAACACAATGCACACATTCTATCACTAAAGAGTTTATAATTTTCTGATAATTAATTTGGCCAGTGAGGGAATTCCTCTTTGGCGTTTCCTCCTTCTTAATCTGATTAATTGGCAAGGGATTTTCCCTAGAAGTTTTGTCAACTGCCTTACCAGAGTCGCCATAATAAAAATTTAGGTAGATTCCATTAGCCAGGGATCATTACCTTGTGTGATGTTTGGTCTAGAAGTCAGACTAATCCTAAAGTGAAGGTATCTTCAGAAATAAGGAAGCTGCAGCACAAGACAGCTTTGCAGGAACTCTTAAGGATGAAGCACAAGAGACAATATCAGCCTTGATGCAAGACCACTGACTTTACAGTGAATGCTACATGAGCGGTATACTTTCACCAAATAAAATGGGTTGTGTGCTTGTGTGCTGTAGCCCATTGTTGAAGTACTTACTTTACTTTTATACTTTCTTGGGTTTTTTTAATAAATGTAATTGATTCCTTTTTCTTTCTTTCTTTCTTTCTTTCTTTCTTTCTTTCTTTCTTTCTTTCTTTTTTCTTTCTTTTTTCTTTCTTTTTTATGAAGCAATTGGGGTTAAGTGACTTGCCCTGAGTCACACAGCTAGTGAGTATTATGTGTCTAATGCCAGATTTGAACTCAGGTCCTCCTGACTCCAGGGCTGGTGCTCTATCCACTGTGCCATCTAGCTGCCCCCCTTTTTTTTCTTTATGTGCTTTCCCAAATTCAACTAACTCCCTGAATCAAACCCTCCTTTGTAAAAAAGAAATAGAAGGGAAAAAAATATCTAATACAGAGACTGCCTCTGACAATGCATGCAATTTTCTGCTCTAATACTCACCTCTTTCTCTGCCAAGATGAAGGATGGGTATTTTCATTATCTGCTCTCTGGGATCACTGTTGGTTTTTCCAGGATTTAGCTTACTTTTAGTGAATTTTCTTTTTCATCACATTGTAGTCATTATGTATTTTGGTTTCGGGGGGTATTCTTTTTAGCTGTATTTATTTCATTTACATTGGTACATGCAGATACTCCCACATTTCTCTGAATTTCTCATGTCTCTTAATTCATAATGAACACAAATATTTTATTATATTTGTATTCCTAAGCTTGGTTAGTCATTCCCCCATTCGATGGACACTCAGTTTCTTTCCAGTCTTTGTTTCTGTTTGAGTTTATTGAGGTATTTGCCAATTCATAAGGTCTTGGGGTCAAAGGACATCTATATATATTATATATATGTATTTATGTATGTATATGTATATGTATATATATTACACACACACACACACACACACACACATACACACATATACACAGCTTTCTATTCTTCTTTAATAACTCTAAATTGTTGTCCATACTAGTAGGACTAATCGACAGCTATACTAATAGTGTATTAGTATTCCTGTCTTCCCATATTTTCTCCAAAATTGACTTTTTCTATTTTTGGACATTTTTGATAAATTGTATTGCATGAGGTAAAAGCTTCGAGTTGCTCCAAGTTGTGCATATTTCTCTTATTATTAGTGATTTGGAACTTGTTTTCATAATTTTTTTAGTTCAAAATCCTTCTTTTGAAACCTATGTTCTTAAAGCACTTATCTGTTGGGAATGGACTCATTTATTTGTGTCAATTTTTATCCATCTATCTTAGGTGCCAGTGTTTAGCGTGATATTTGACATAAAGATTTTCCCATTGGGCAATTTATTTCCCAGATTCTGTCTGCATTAATTTTATTAGTACAAAAATATTTGAGTGTTTGATATGTATCACATAACAATAACTTTTAAACACCACGTGTGACATGTTATTGGTTTATTACAAGTTTACATATATAAATATATGTGTATACAATATGTACAAATATATATACACACATCCATACATGTATACGATCTTTTGCAACCCCTAATAATTGCTTTGAGAAGTCAGTAAGGAGCTTATTCATTACTTTTGAGAATAGAAACCCAAAATATGCAAGGTTTTTTTTGAGTGAAGATAACTGAGCAATGATCTGAAACAGGCTGTGCATGTTAATACCTCTGCCTCGATTCGAAACTCAGGAGGAAGTGGTGAGAGGGGGACCTGCACTGAACAGAGTTTTTAGGCATATTTCATCCTTAGAGAATAACTACATTTCTGTTAGGAATGGAAATGAAAACAAAAATATATTGATAATTTAGGGCAGAGATGTCAAACTGCAAACCTTCCAAGCATTGCCTGAGCCAGATTTGAATGTAACTGGGAAATGTTTGACAAAACATTTTGATAATTTAGGTAGTATTAATTTATGGTTTTCCAAGTCAACATATGGCCTGCAAAGATCCATTTCTATCTGAGTCTGACACCATTGATTTAGGTAAGTGTTTATAATAGAACAGTAATTTGAAGGACATAGTATTGCGAGGGTGAGTGAAGGCAAATTGGACTTGGGTATGCACGGGCTGAGTGGAATAGGAATGGGGATAGGAATGCAGAAAGAGATAGCCAAGGGGAAAGATCTTTACCTAAAATAAAGCAGCATAATAGGGATCTGGTAAGTAGGATATTGAAAAACAGCACGAACAGACATACTAACTGTAAGAAGAATGGATTAGGAATCTACAAAGTTTAGTTAGTGGATGTGCTTTTAGAAATATCATTTAGAATGTTGGTGAAGAAGAAACATGGTATGATGGCCTGGTCGCACATAAACTGTGTCTTAGGGGATCAAAAAGTTCTGATAATGCTAGATATGCAGCTACTAGTAGAAGAGGATATGAGAATATCTTGCTTGCACGATTTGTGTGTATGGTGATATAATTTCTGTTATTTTATCCTTCCATTGTACATTGAACTTACTGACTTATTCTTGGCATTGCAAGAAGGGTAGTGAAGGGGCATAAGCTAAATAATATTTAGATAGCTTGTGTAACACAGGATATCATAATATGAAAAGAAGCCCATGTTTCTCTCTGGAATTGAAGTCACAAGATGGAAAATTATTCATAATTGCAATCATAACATACCATACAATAGAGAGTTTCCTGCCAAGGAAACTTTGATTTCAAAGACCTTACGCAAGTCGCATGTAGTCGTGACTTTTTTTTTTTTTGCAAGAAGCTCCTGCCAGCCTTCAAACTCAACACAACCCAGGTCAGCTCAGGGATGGAAGGGACTTGATTGGCATAAAATAATTCCTCAGACAAAGGACTGAGTGTATAGCTTCAATGGGAACACTGTGCATCTAGGTCTTTATAAGGAAGGTTGCCCTGGGCTCGTCCAACACAGGTGATATCCACATCATGGGTACTACCAAGATTTTCCTGCTCCTTCTCTCAGTGGCCCTGTTGGCCCTGAGCTCAGCTCAAGGAACACCCAAGGGTAAGTGGGGGAATACTGGGAAACTGTGATAGTATTAGGAGATTTGGGGTTCACCATTCAAGTCAAATGACAGGACTTGGGGCAAGCCATTCTCAATGATTCAGTTACTTTAGTTTTCCTAGAGTTAGATAACTGGGGGAGGTAGTATTACTACTTCTACAAATAAAAACTAGCATTTATATGGTACTTTAAGATTTGCAAAGTCCTTTACATATATTATCACATGTGATCTTCACAACAACCTTGGGAGGTAGGTGCGATTATTGTCCTCACTTCACAAATAAGAAGACTGAGGCTAAGGTAACTGAGAGGGCTTAACTGACTTGCCTAGGCAGTATAGTGGGTAAGAGTCCTAGACTTGGAGGTAGGAAAACCTGAGTTCAAATCCTGCATCACATACATATGAGTAGTGTGACCCTGAGCAAGTCGCTCAGTCTCTGTTTCCCTATTCATTACACTGGAGTCATTGTGTCTTTTGGTTTGGAGGTTCTTGTTGATTTGGTAAGATGGAGATAATAATAGCACCTGCTTTCTAAGGTTATTGCAAGGATCAAATGAGATAGCATATTGTAGCACTTTGCAAACTTTAAAGCACTATGTAAATGCTGGCAATTATTAGTTATTATTTTTGTTGGAAATAACTAGTTAAGTGTCTAAGGCAGTTTAAACTCAAGTTTTCCTGACTCCAAATCTAGTGCTCTATCCATTGCTTTCCATCCTCTGCATACTTCAATTACCTTTCTCTAGCACTGGACATGAGCCTAAACTCAACATCTTCTTTAAGTAACTGCTGTTCTACTATGAACACTTTTGCTTCTGTGTACCAAAATATTGAAATGAAAAACAGACAATTCCATCACTCCTTCAGATACCTAATTACTGAGACAACAAACCTTTGAATATTTATTTGCCCCGATGATTGAATTGTTCACTTTTCTCTCTAATTTGGACACGGGATAGACACTCTATTCAAATGTCTTCACTGTAGCAGTCTTTTTAGACATATTTCATATCATTCCTTTTCACATTCTTCATTCAGTGAAATTGGAAGACTAACTATTGCCTGCTCATGACATTTCTTCTCCTGCTTTTCTCCTCATGCCTGACATATGCTCAGTTGTTGGCTATCTTTATAAAATTTCTAGCTTCCCTCAAGGAGAGCTCAGTAGCTACATAAGGTCTACCCAGATCTCTCAATTGTTAGTTCTCTCTCTCTCTCTCTCTCTCTCTCTCTCTCTCTTTCTCTCTCTCCTCTCTAAGTGTATATGGTCTTTATTTGCTTCATATTGGGTTTCCTCCAATGGAATATAAGTTCTTTGAGGGACAATTTCATTTTGTCACAGAAAGTTGGACATGACTGAGATGACTCAACAGCCACAAAAATCCCCAGTGAGAGGGACCATAGCATACCGAATAAAGGGCCAGCCTCAGAGCCAGGAAAATCTCAGCTCAGATTTTGCTTATGATACATGCTGACTATGCAACTCTTGGCAAATCACTTAACTTTTCAGGGTTCCAAGCAACTCTTGAAGGCTATGTGTTGCAGACCCCATGCCAAGCTGCAGTGGTAGAAGGAATTCCTTTGTTGGGAGTTTTATATAATAATGAAATCACAGATTTGGTTTAAATAATAATCTAATAAATAGGACATAAATAAAGGTTTGTTTGATTGGATTAAATGACAGAATCACTTAACCAAGGACCTCAGTGGCCATAAAGTTCAACCTAGACCTGAAAAAATGGTCTTACCTAAGAAGCAGACATCTCAATTTTTCTTGAGGCTCTCCTATGAAGGAAAGGCCACTACATCTGGAGTCCACTAATTCTACTTTTGGATAGTTTTAGGCTTCAGGCAGCTTTTCCTTATAACAAATCTCATTTGGCCTCTTTGCAACTTTTAACCATGGCTCCTATATCTGTTCTCTACATTCATATAGAACACATTTAATCCCTTTTCCATATGACAATCCTTTAAGTGCTTGAAGGCAGATATCATGTCTACACTAAGCCTTATTCTTCTCCAGTTCCTGGCTTCCTTTAAATCCCACCTAAAATCTCACATTCTACCAGAAGCCTTACCTGATCCCCTTTAATTCTACTGCCTTCCCTGTATTTATTATTTCCCATTTATCATGTATATAGTTTGCCCATAATTGTTTGCATGTTATCTCCACCACTATGAGCTCCTTGAGAGGATGGATTGTCTCTTACCTTTATCTCCTTAGCCATTAGCAAAATGTCAGGTGCATAGTAAGCACTTGATAAATGTTATTGACTTGTCTTATATGGGGTTGAATACAGACCTCTATTTGATTTCCTTAAAGTGTTTTAGGAATCTGTTTGAGAAATTTGAGGTTCCTCTAAGTGTTTCAGGGACCACTGGAATTATTTTCATTTTGACCTCCATCAGGACTGGTATATGTGTTGTAGGGATCCATCTGAGAAATTTTTAGAATTCCCATTTGGGTTGGTCTATTTATTCTGGGAAGCCATTCGAGGGAATTTCACCCAGGAAAGTTCTATTTTTACCCTTAGAGTAAGGGGATTCTTTTCAGTCAACCTCAACCCTTGAGGGAGAGCCACTTCTGCATTGGCAATTCATCTGGGACCAGTACTAGCATGAAGATTTTAGTTCTGAAGCACAGCATGAAGATATAGAAATCTGAGTCATTTGACTTTATAGGTAGTTTCTTCAGTCCCTAAACCAAGATGCCATCTCAGAGCTAACATCGAAACAACTCAAACCATTTGATGTAGAAGAGTGAAAGAATACAAAAAGAATACCGATAAAATGTCATCATTGCTCTGGGTTTGCACTGACAAAACCAACTATGATTGATTTCTATTACTTTCCTTTTTTATTGCAGTACTTAGTAGAAGTAAACTATGTCCTGTGATCCTCAGGGTAATGAGCAAGGCTTGTGCTGGAGTTTCTCTTCCTATTGAATGCTTCCCTTCAATAAACCAACATGGTTTTATGTTTGACTAAACACTAAGAAAAAAAGCCATGATATTTGACAGAAATCCACCTCATAGTTTTATAGAAAATCAGTTTGTAATTTAGTGACACTGATTCAACTGTGGCTTCTAATCATCTGTTTTTCAACATGCTACTTCTATGTGGTATGATCAGGCTACCACAAATGATTAATTTTCCATTATTTGTTTTCATTGTATCTCATAATTCCCTTATTTATGTTGGGACAGGTTTGGAATGGATAAGATGCATTCTCGTTTTTATAATGGTGTATGTATCCTCTGGCCAAATAGATCCAAGTTTCGTTCATGACTGCAATGGAGATTATTAGATGGGTGGCCTCCACAGATAACCAATTTTCCATCCCTCTCTTCTCCATTTCCTTCAGGATATCTCACACCTCCCTTCTAAAGTATTGTTTGATAGCACAAATTCTCAGTTTTATGATGAGATAGGTATCTTCTGTCAAAGTGGGTCCATTTTTGTGTTTCTGATAAAATTTCATTGAATCCTCTTGACTTGAACATAACTTGCCCCACCTAGATTGATATATGTGAACTTTGGAACTTTGTTATAAATTTTACTTGTTCCTTTTCTTTACCCACAGCAGCCCGAGCCAGAAACCTGCTGCTCAATAATATAAGTCCTAATTCATCTCCTCTATGGATTTATTTTGACTCTCCCTGTAGTCCTTGGAATTTATCTTTACTTCTCTTGGTCTTCATAATGATTCATGTTTTAATTGAACATCTTTCCAACATTTCTTTTTCAATTCTTCCTACTTCCCAGAGTTACCTTTATTAGTAATCTAAACTGACACACCAAAATACTAATTAGTAAATCTAAAATTCAAAACATGATTACCTACTTGACATTATATCCGCATTAGATATTGTGAAATTACGCTGCCTGCAGCAATACCCAATTTTTCAACTATTTCTCCTCCATTTTCTTCATTGGATAACATATAATCCTCTGTTCTGGATAGATTTCCTGTAGATACCATTCAATTTCATATACCAGTCCCTTTCCAGTATTCTGTGGTAGGTTTCAAATAGGTGGAGTTAATTCTTTATTTAATGATGATATGGGTATGCTCAGGCTATGTAGATCCAAATTTGTGCTCTGCAGATAATGCTATTGGACCACATTCACTTTAACATGACTTGCCCTGATCCACTAGGGCCAAATGTGGTGTTTACAAAACTCTTGCCTTAAATTTCTTCTTCCTTCTTTTTTTTTTAAACCACAGCAACACCAAGTCCAGAGCTTGTTGCACAAGAACATAATTCCGACTTTATACAAAAACTGTGGTTTGTTGTTCCTTATCTTCCCTTACAATCTACTTTCCTTTTGGTGATTGCAGATTAGCATCCCAGTGTGGGGAATCAGACAAATCATGAAGTCAATCAGTCCAATTTAGTGTCCCCTTTTCTGACCCTAGACTGGGAAAAACAGTTTGAATTAGTTTCCATTTTGTGTCTTTCCTGTTCTTCTTAGTAGGTGAAAGTTCTGTCAGGGAAATAGAAGAGGTTATACTTCAAATACCTTCAAAGGATTTATTTAGGTAGGGCAATGGCCTGAGAAAGTGTTCCACTCCAATGAAAAGTTACACATTCTTAGTGAATTGAATTGATGCTTTTGTTATTGTTTTCCTTTATGTTACACTATTAGGGAGGTCTTGTGAGGACAAATTACCATCCCTTTTTCTGACCCAGGCCTCAGAAAAATAGCTTGGATTAGTTTCCATTATTTGCCTTTTGGGTTCTTATTAGTAGATAAAAAACCTGTGATGGAAACAAAAGAGGCTGAACTCGCATTTCTATTAACTTTGAAGGTTTCATTTAGATATACCAAAGGTTTACTGCATAGGGCATATCAAAGAAATAGGTCACAAATCATTAACAAAATTGTGTTTTCCTAGTTCAGTCATAATGCTTGCATTATGTCCTCCAGGTACCTCTTTTTCAATTGATTCTACCTCCATGGTTATCTCCATTATGCACATAGAATTCAAGAGATGATAGATTATTTTATATTATTATCACAATAGATATTGTAAGATCTGACTGATCACACTACTGTCTAATTTTCCATCAATTTTGTCTCTATTTGATTCACTTTTCAGAGCTCCAGTATTTAATATGTTATGAAAGTTTCAAAATGGAAGTTAGGAATTCTTTGTTTTATAAGTGGATGTGTAATGTCTGGTCAGGTGGATGCTTGTATTCCTGATAGAGTTCCAATGGGACTCTTAATCACAGATTGCCCTTATCCACAACTGAAAACTCTTGAGATGCAGAGGACTCTTGCCCTAAAAATCATTCTTTCCTTTTCTTTTTTTCTACCCACAGAAGCCCCAAGACAGCAACCTGCTGAACCTGAACGTAAGTAGCATATCTATCTAAACAGTCTTTCTTTCCTTTTCACTTTAGTCCCTTGTTATTGTTATCTTTCATTCTAAACCATTTGACATTTATGCTATTCAAGATCAGTACCCAGACAAAAAAAAAAGAGTAATGATGAACTAAGAATGTGCTCAAATTAAAATTAATTATTCTCTCTTGACATAACATATGATCTCATTTTTCCAGCAGGGGATTTCCTGGATAAAAATTTCAAGGTCACTTTGATGTCTTCAATGAAATGCTCTCTGTCTCTGTTTGTCCTCTGTCTACATATCTCTCTCTGTTTCCCTGTCTGTCTCTGTCTATCCTTTGAAAGAAATGTAGTACCAAGAACCAGAAAGGTTAAATGCCCGCCTATTCAAAAGATTTAGCTCTGAAAGGCTAAATAAACAAATGCTGCATCCTTGCCATATTTCTCATATTTATGCAAAGCCTCTTCACTTCTTCTAAGAATGGACTCATCTGAGGCTTAACCACAAATTAATCACAGCCCTAACTGCAGAGAGTGAGGGCAAGAAGAAATAGAAAGATTGACAAGATATTTCAATCAGTGTCTGTCCCTGGATAAAGGGAGTACATTTGGGTTGATTTCTATTAATTACTTTGTTGCTTTCCTTAATATTAGATAAGTAGTAAATGTAAGTCCAAATTACTGTCACTTTTTCAGACTCTGGACTGGGAAAAATAATTTGGATTAGTTCCCTTATTTGCCTTTTGTGGTCTTCTCCTTAGTAGGTGAAAGATCTGTCAGGGAAGTAAAAAGGGCTCATGCGCATACTTCAACTAACTTTGAAAAATTAATTTAGATAGCCCAATGGCCTGAGGAGGTGCTCGATGCCAAAAATTTGGGCACAGACTTTTAGCAAAAACACAATAATTTTTATTGAATAATGTTTTTCTACTTGAGTCACACTGCTTCAATTATGTTCTCCAGATATATCTTTTTCAGTTCATTCTACTGCCATGGTTATCTTCACTATTTACCTAGAATTTAAAAGTTGCTAAACTATCTTATATCATGTTGACACTAGATGTTGTAGGATCCAACTGAACACAACATTTAATGTTCCATTCTTTTTCTCTCTATTTCCTTCATTTCTCAAACTTCCTGTATTTAATGTTATGGCAGCTTTGAAAACAATCGGATGAATTCTGAATTATATGACTGGATATGTAACCTCTGGACGAGGGTGCTTCTATTCCTGATAGAATGCCATTTGTACCCTTGAATATAGATTGCCCTTAAACACAACTGAAAGCTCTTGAAATTCATAGAACTCTTGCCCTAAATATCACTCTTTCCTTTTCTTTATTCTACCCACAGAAGCCTCAAGCCAACAATCTGAGAAACCTGAATGTAACATGTCTATTCTTAAAGTCTTTTTTCCTGTTTTCTTGAGGCCCCTGGACTTTGTCTCTTATTATACACCACTTAGTCCTCTACAGTCTTAAAGATAAGTACCCAGAAACAGAGGGTAATCCAGTTAAAATGCCTTAGCACATAGTCTTTTTTCACCAGGGAATGCAGATCACAACTCACAAGACCACTTTGTCATCTTCAATTAAACACTCTCTGTCTTGGCCCTAATGGTTTGTCTCTATTTCTCTGTCTCTTTCTCTCTTTTTCTGTCTCTCCTTCTCTCTCTCTCTTTCTCTGTTTTTCACAGTCCCTCTGTGTCTGGTCTTTCTCTGAATCTGTATCTTTATCTCTCTGTCACTGTAGCTCTGTTTTTCTGTCTCTCTTTCTCTCTCTCTCTCTCTCTCTCTCTCTCTCTCTCTCTCTCTCTCTGTCTCTCTCTGTCTCTCTCTGTCTGTCTCTCTCTCTCTCTCTCTCTCTCTCCCTCTCTCACACACACACACACACACACACACACACACACACACACACACACACACACACACACCCCTTTTCTCTCTATCTCTGTCCCTCCCTTCTACTTTGACCTTCGAAATAGTGAAATTTCAGAGAGCAGAAGAGGAAAAGAAGGAAATGTAATATTAGTAACTCAAAAGGACAAAATGCCTATTCAAAATATTTCTACCTAAAGCACAAAATTAAGAAATGCTACATCTTGGCCATAATTTCTCCCTTTATGCAAAGCCTCTTCACTTCTTCTAAGGAAGGATCCATCTTAGACCTAGCCTCAAGACTACTCACACCACTAACTTCAGGGAAAGAAAACAAGAAGAAATAGGTGGATTAGCAAGATGTTTCTATTCTTTCAGAGATGTGCTGAGATCAGGTGGAACATAACAATATCTAATTTTTCTGCACGTTTTATATTTAGTTCCCTCATTTCTCTTATCTCCTCTACTTACAGCTACGAAAGCATTGAAATGCATAGGATGATTTTGTCACTGACTATGAACTTCTGGCCAAGTGGATAATGGCACTCTTGATAGAATTCCACTGGGGCCCTCGATCGCATATTGCCCTTATCCAGAACTGAAACCTCTTGAGATTCATAGGACTCATGCCCTAAACATTACTCATCTCTTTTTATTTTTTCTACCCACAGCAGCCCCAAGGCAACAAACTAGGAAAAGTAAAGGTAAGTAAAATGTCTATCTGTAAAGAGTCCTTCTTTCCCTTTTCCTTGAGGACCCTACAACTTATTTCTCATTTTAAACAGTTTGGCATTTCCACTCTTAAAGTTCAATACCAGGAAAGAGATGGTAATAATGAAATAACAGGGTGGTCAGGTTAAAAGGCCTTGTTCTCTCTTGCCATTGCATAGGTCTTATTTTCCCAACTGAGAATTTCCCAGATCAAAAATCCAAAGCCATTTTATCATCTTTTGCCATAGCACATGTTTGCTTATTTCTATTAGCTAATATCCTACGTCAAAGATTTCAAGATCACTTTGTAATATTTGGTGCAATGTTCTTTTAATGTCTCTGCACTGTTTGTATTTCTCTCTCTCTTTCTCTCAGTTTTTTCAGTCCCTCTGTGTCTGGTCCTTCTCTGAATCTATATCTTTATCTCTCTGTCTTCGTCTCACTTTTTCTTGGTTTCTCTCCCTCCCTCCCTCTCTCTCTCTCTCTTCTCTCTCTCTCTCTCCCTTGTACTTTGACCTTTGCAAGAGTGAAATTTGAGAAAGCAAAAGAGGAAAAGAAGGAAATGTAATATTAGGAATTCAAAAGGACAAAGGCTTATTGAAAATATTTGTACCTAAAACACAAAATTAAGAAAATTTACATCCTGGCCATCATTTCCCCCTTTACCCAAAGGCTCTTCAATTCTTCTAAGGAAGGATCCATCTCAGACCTAGCCTCAACCCTACTCACACCAATATCTTCAAGGACAGAAGACAAGAAGAAATAGTCAGTTTGGCAGCATGTTTCTATTCTTTAGAGATGGGCTGAGATCAGGCTGAACATAATATCTAATTTTTCCACCCATTTTATATTTAGGTCCATCATTTCTCTTATATCTTCTACTTACACTTATGAAAGCTTTGAAATGTATAGGATGATTTTGTGAGTGAATATGAACCTGTGGCCAAGTGGATACTTATATTCTTGAAAGAATTCCACTGGGGACATCAATCACATATTACCTTCATCCATAACTGAAACCTCTTGAGATTCACCGGACTCTTGCCCTAAACAATACTCATCTTTTTATTTTCTCTAGACGCAGAAGAGCCAGGCGACCCACCTGAAGGTAAGTAATATGTCTATCTCTAAACAGTCCTTTCTTTCCCCTTTCCTTGAGGACCCTAGACCTTGCCTCCCATTTGAAACCATTTGGCATTTCCACTCCTAAAGTTCACTACAAAGAAAAAGGGGGTAATCATGAACTCCGAGGGTGATTAGGGTTAAAAGGCATTGTTCTCTCTTGCCATTGCATAGGTCTCATTTTTCCACCACAGGGTTTTCCAGATCAAAAATGCAAAGCAATTTTGTCATATGTTCCCATAGCATATCTTTCCTTTTTCTGTTAGCTAAAATCCTAGGTCAACGATTTCAAGATCACTTTATAATATTAAATGCAAAGTTCTCTTCATGTCTCCCACTGTTGGTATTTCTCTCTCTCTCTCTCTCTCTCTCTCTCTCTCTCTCTCTCTCACTCTGTCTCTCTCTCTCACACTGTCTCTCTCTCTCTCTCTCTCTCTCTCTCTCTCTCTCTTCCTCTCTTTTTTCATGGTCCCTCTGTGTCTGGTCTTTCTATGAATCTATATCTTTATCTCTCTGTCTCTGTCTCGCTTTTTCTCTCCCTTTCTCTCTCCCTCTGTCTCTCTCTCTTTTTCACACACACACACACACACACACACACACACACACACACCCATACACACACACACATTTTCTCTGTATCTCTCTCTCTCCCTTGTACTTTCACCTTTGAAAAAGTGAAATTTCAGAAAGCAAAAGAGGAAAAGAAGGAAATGTAATATTAGCAATTCAAACGGACAAATGCGTATTGAAAATATTTGTACCTAAAACACAAAATTAAGAAATATTACATCCTGGACATAATTTCCCCCTTTACACAAAGGCTCTTCGCTTCTCTAAGGAGGAGCCATCTCAGACCTAGCCACAAGCCTACTCATGCCAATATCTTCAAGGAGAGAAGAGAAGAAGAAATAGGTAGTTTGGAAAGATGTTTCTATTGTTTACAGATGTGCAGAGATCAGGTGAACATAATAATATCTAATTTCTCCACACATTTTATATTAGGTCCTTCATTTCTCTATATCTTCTACTTACATTTATGAAAGCTTTGAAATGTATAGGATGATTTTGTGAGTGAATATGAACCTCTGGCCAAGTGGATACTTGCATTCTTCAAGTAATTCCCTGGGTCCTTCGATCAAATTACCTTTATGCACTCTGAAACCTCTTGAGATTCACAGGACTCTTGCCCTAAACATTACTTATCTTTTTATTTTTTCTACCCCAGGAGAACCAGGCGAACCACCTGAAGGTAAGTAATATGTCGATCTCTAAACACTCCTTTCTTTCCCCGTTCCTTGAGGACCCTAGACCTTGTCTCTCATTTGAAACCATTTGGCACATCCAATCTTAAAGTTCAGTACCAAGAAGAGAGGGTAATAACGAACTAAGAGGGTGGTCAGTTAAAAAGTTTGTTTTCTCTGCCATTGCATAGCTCTCATATTTCCACCAGAGAATTTCCCATATCAAAAATCCAAAATGATTTTGTCATCTTTTCCCAAAGCATAGTTTGCTTTTTTCCATTGCCTAATATCCTAGATCAAACATTTCAAGATCACTTTGTAATACTTAATGCAATGTGCTCTTCCTGTCTCTGCAGCGTGGGTATTTCTCTCTCTCTTTCCCTCTGCTTTCACAGTCCCTCTGTGTCTGGTCTTTCTTGAATCGATATCTTTATCTCTCTGTCTCTCTCTCACTTTTCTCTGCCTTTCTCTCACCCTCTGTCTCTTTCTTTCACACACACACACACACACACACACACACACACACCCATACACACACACATTTTCTCTGTATCTCTCTCTCTCCCTTGTACTTTCACCTTTGAATGAGTGAAATTTCAGAAAGCAAAAGAGGAAAAGAAGGGAATGTAATATTAGGAATTCAAACGCACAAATGCGTATTGAAAATATTTGTACGTGAAACACAAAATTAAGAAATGATGCAGCCTGGCCATAATTTCCCCCTTTATACAAAGGCTCTTCGCTTCTTCTAAGGAAGGAGCCATCTCAGACCTAGCCACAAGCCTACTCACACCAATATCTTGAAGGAGAGAAGAGAAGAAGAAATAGGTAGTTTGGAAAGATGATTCTATTGTTTACAGCTGTGCTGAGATCAGGCTGAACATATAATATCTAATTTTTCCACCCATTTTATATTTAGGTCTTCATTTCTCTTACATCTTCTACTTACATTTATGAAAGCTTTGAAATGTATAGGATGATTTTGTGAGTGAATATGAACCTCTGGCCAAGTGGATACTTGCATTCTTCAAGTAATTCCACTGGGTCCTTCGATCACATATTACTTTATCCACCTCTGAAACCTCTTGAGATTCAGAAGGACTCTTGCCCTAAACATTACTCATCTTTTTATTTTTTCTACCCCAGGAGAACCAGGTCCACCACCTGAAGGTAAGTAATATGTCTATCTCTAAACACTCCTTTCTTTCCCCGTTCCTTGAGGACCCTAGACCTTGTCTCTCATTTGAAACCATTTGGCACATCCACTCTTAAAGTTCAGTACCAAGAAAGAGAGGGTAATAATGAACTAAGAGGGTGGTCAGCTTAAAAGGCTTTGTTTTCTCTTGCCATTGCATAGCTCTCATATTTCCACCAGAGAATTTCCCATATCAAAAATCCAAAATGATTTTGTCATCTTTTCCCAAAGCATAGTTTGCTTTTTTCCCTTGCCTAATATCCTAGATTAAACATTTCAACATCACTTTGTAATATTTAATGCAATGTTCTCTTCATGTCTCTGGAGCGTGGGTATTTCTCTCTCTCTTTCTCTGTGTTTTCACAGTCCCTCTGTGTCTGGTCTTTCTCTGAATCGATATCATTTCTCTCTGTCTCTCTCGCTTTTTCTCTGCCTTTGTCTCTCCCTCTGTCTCTCTCTCTTTCACACACACACACACACACACAAAACACACCCCTACACACACATATTTTCTTGTATCTCTCTCTCTCCTTGTACTTTCACCTTTGAAAAAGTGAAATTTCAGAAACAAAAGAGGAAAAGAAGAAATGTAATATTAGCAATTCAAACGGACAAATGCGTATTGAAAATATTTGTACCTAAAACACAAAATTAAGAAATATTACATCCTGGACATAATTTCCCCCTTTACACAAAGGCTCTTCACTTCTTCTAAGGAAGGAGCCATCTCAGACCTAGCCACAAGCCTACTCACGCCAATATCTTCAAGGAGAGAAGAGAAGAAGAAATAGGTAGTTTGGAAAGATATTTCTATTGTTTACAGATGTGCTGAGATCAGGATGAACATAATAACATCTAATTTTTCCACCCATTTTATATTTGGTCCTTCATTACTCTTATATCTTCTACTTACACTTATGAAAGCTTTGAAATGTATGTGATGATTTTGTGAGTGAATATGAACCTCTGGCCAAGTGGATACTTGTATTCTTCAAGTAATTCTGCTGGGTCCTTCAATCACATATTACTTTATCCACCTCTGAAACCTCTTGAGATTCAGAAGGACTCTTGCCTAAACATTACACATGTTTTTATTTTTTCTACCCCAGGAGAACCAGGCGAACCACCTGAAGGTAAGTAATATCTATCTCTAAACACTCCTTTCTTTCCCCATTCCTTGAGGACCCTAGACCTTGCCTCTCATTTGAAACCATTTGGCACATCCACTCTTAAAGTTCAGTACCAAGAGAGAGGGTAATAATGAACTAAGAGCATGGTCAGCTTAAAAGGTTTTGTTTTCTCTTGCCATTGCATAGCTCTCATATTTCCACCAGAGAATTTCCCATATCAAAAATCCAAAATGATTTTGTCATCTTTCCCAAAGCATAGTTTGCTTTTTTCCATTGCCTAATATCCTAGATCAAACATTTCAAGATCACTTTGTAATACTTAATAATGTGCTCTTCCTGTCTCTGCAGCGTGGGTATTTCTCTCTCTCTTTCCCTCTGCTTTCACAGTCCCTCTGTGTCTGGTCTTTCTCTGAATCGATATCGTTATCTCTCTGTCTCTGTCTCACTTTTTCTCTGCCTTTCTCTCACCCTCTGTCTCTTTCTTTCACACACACACACACACACACACACACACACACACACACACACCATACACACACACATTTTCTCTGTATCTCTCTCTCTCCCTTGTACTTTCACCTTTGAATGAGTGAAATTTCAGAAAGCAAAAGAGGAAAAGAAGGGAATGTAATATTAGGAATTCAAACGCACAAATGCGTATTGAAAATATTTGTACGTGAAACACAAAATTAAGAAATGATGCAGCCTGGCCATAATTTCCCCCTTTACACAAAGGCTCTTCGCTTCTTCTAAGGAAGGAGCCATCTCAGACCTAGCCACAAGCCTACTCACACCAATATCTTGAGGAGAGAAGAGAAGAAGAAATAGGTAGTTTGGAAAGATGATTCTATTGTTTACAGCTGTGCTGAGATCAGGCTGAACATAATAATATCTAATTTTTCGACCCATTTTATATTTAGGTCTTTCATTTCTCTTACATCTTCTACTTACATTTATGAAAGCTTTGAAATGTATGGGATGATTTTGTGAGTGAATATGAACCTCTGGCCAAGTGGATACTTGCATTCTTCAAGTAATATCACTGGGTCCTTCGATCACATATTACTTTATCGACCTCTGAAACCTCTTGAGATTCAGAAGGACTCTTGCCCTAACCATTACTCATCTTTTTATTTTTTCTACCCCAGGAGAACCAGGTCCCCACCTGAAGGTAAGTAATATGTCGATCTCTAAACACTCCTTTCTTTCCCCGTTCCTTGAGGACCCTAGACCTTGTCTCTCATTTGAAACCATTTGGCACATCCACGCTTAAAGTTCAGTACCAAGAAAGAGAGGGTAATAATGAACTAAGAGGGTGGTCAGCTTAAAAGGCTTTGTTTTCTCTTGCCATTGCATAGCTCTCATATTTCCACCAGAGAATTTCCCATATCAAAAATCCAAAATGATTTTGTCATCTTTTCCCAAAGCATAGTTTGCTTTTTTCCCTTGTCTAATATCCTAGATCAAACATTTCAACATCACTTTGTAATATTTAATAAAATGTTCTCTTCATGTCTCTGGAGCGTGGGTATTTCTCTCTCTCTTTCTCTGTGTTTTCACAGTCCCTCTGTGTCTGGTCTTTCTCTGAATCGATATCATTTTCTCTCTGTCTCTCTCGCTTTTTCTCTGCCTTTCTCTCTCCCTCTGTCTCTCTCTCTCTCACACACACACACACACACACACACACACACACACACACACACCCATACACACATATATTTTCTCTGTATCTCTCTCTCTCTTCCTTGTACTTTCACCTTTGAAAAAGTGAAATTTCAGAAACAAAAGAGGAAAAGAAGAAAATGTAATATTAGCAATTCAAACGGACAAATGCGTATTGAAAATATTTGTACCTAAAACACAAAATTAAGAAATATTACATCCTGGACATAATTTCCCCCTTTACACAAAGGCTCTTCACTTCTTCTAAGGAAGGAGCCATCTCAGACCTAGCCACAAGCCTACTCACGCCAATATCTTCAAGGAGAGAAGAGAAGAAGAAATAGGTAGTTTGGAAAGATATTTCTATTGTTTACAGATGTGCTGAGATCAGGATGAACATAATAACATCTAATTTTTCCACCCATTTTATATTTCGGTCCTTCATTACTCTCATATCTTCTACTTACACTTATGAAAGCTTTGAAATGTATGGATGATTTTGTGAGTGAATATGAACCTCTGGCCAAGTGGGATACTTGTATTCTTCAAGTAATTCTGCTGGGTCCTTCAATCACATATTACTTTATCCACCTCTGAAACCTCTTGAGATTCAGAAGGACTCTTCCTAAACATTACACATGTTTTTATTTTTTCTACCCCAGGAGAACCAGGCGAACCACCTGAAGGTAAGTAATATCTATCTCTAAACACTCCTTTCTTTCCCCATTCCTTGAGGACCCTAGACCTTGCCTCTCATTTGAAACCATTTGGCACATCCACTCTTAAAGTTCAGTACCAAGAAAGAGAGGGTAATAATGAACTAAGAGGGTGGTCAGCTTAAAAGGCTTTGTTTTCTCTTGCCATTGCATAGCTCTCATATTTCCACCAGAGAATTTCCCATATCAAAAATCCAAAATGATTTTGTCATCATTTCCCAAAGCATAGTTTGCTTTTTTCCATTGCCTAATATCCTAGATCAAACATTTCAAGATCACTTTGTAATACTTAATGCAATGTTCTCTTCCTGTCTCTGCAGCGTGGGTATTTCTCTCTCTCTTTCCCTCTGCTTTCACAGTCCCTCTGTGTCTGGTCTTTCTCTGAATCGATATCGTTATCTCTCTGTCTCTGTCTCGCTTTTTCTCTGCCTTTCTTTCACCCTCTGTCTCTTCTTTCACACACACACACACACACACACACACACACACACACCCATACACACACACATTTTCTCTGTATCTCTCTCTCTCCCTTGTACTTTCACCTTTGAAAGAGTGAAATTTCAGAAAGCAAAAGAGGAAAAGAAGGAATGTAATATTAGGAATTCAAACGACAAATGCGTATTGAAAATATTTGTACGTGAAACACAAAATTAAGAAATGATGCAGCCTGGCCATAATTTCCCCCTTTATACAAAGGCTCTTCGCTTCTTCTAAGGAAGGAGCCATCTCAGACCTAGCCACAAGCCTACTCACACCAATATCTTCAAGGAGAGAAGAGAAGAAGAAATAGGTAGTTTGGAAAGATGTTTCTATTGTTTACAGATGTGCTGAGATCAGGCTGAACATAATAATATCTAATTTTTCCACCCATTTTATATTTAGGTCCTTCATTTCTCTTACATCTTCTACTTACATTTATGAAAGCTTTGAAATGTATGGGATGATTTTGTGAGTGAATATGAACCTCTGGCCAAGTGGATACTTGCATTCTTCAAGTAATATCACTGGGTCCTTCGATCACATATTACTTTATCCACCTCTGAAACCTCTTGAGATTCAGAAGGACTCTTGCCCTAAACATTACTCATCTTTTTATTTTTTCTACCCCAGGAGAACCAGGCGAACCACCTGAAGGTAAGTAATATGTCGATCTCTAAACACTCCTTTCTTTCCCCGTTCCTTGAGGACCCTAGACCTTGTCTCTCATTTGAAACCATTTGTCACATCCACTCTTAAAGTTCAGTACCAAGAAAGAGAGGGTAATAATGAACTAACAGGGTGGTCAGCTTAAAAGGCATTGTTTTCTCTTGCGATTGCATAACTCTCATTTTTCCACCACACAATATCCCAGATCAAAAATCCAAAGTATTTTGTCATCTTTTCCCCAAAGCTTGCTTTTTTCATTGCTAATATCCTAGATCAAACATTTCAAGATCACTTTGTAATATTTAATGCAATGTTCTCTTATGTCTCTGCAGTCTATTTCTCTCTCTCTCTTCTTTGTCTCTGTTTTCCGGTCCTCTCTGTCTGGTCTTTCTCTGAATCTATATCTTTATCTGTCTGTCTCTGTCTCTCTCTTTTTCTCTGCCTTTTCTATTTCTCTCTGTCTCTCTCTCTTTCACACACACACTCACACACACAACACACACACACACACACACACACTTTTTTTCTCTACCTCTCTCCCTCCTTGTACTTTCCCTTTGAAAAGTGAAATTTCAGAAAGCAAAGAGGAAAAGAAGGAAATGTAATTAGAATTCAAAGCACAAATGCGTATTCAAAATATTTGTACCTAAAACACAAAATTAAGAAATGCTTCATCCTGGCCATAATTTCTTGCCTTTACAAAGGCTTGCACTTCTTCTAAGAGAGGATCCATCTCAGACCTAGCCACAAGCCTACTCACACCATACTTCAGGAGAGAAGAGAAAAGAAATAGGTAGTTTGGCAAGATGTTTCTATTCTTTAGAGATGTGCTGAGATCAGGGGAACATAACAATATCTAATTTTTCCACCCATTTTATATTTAGTCCTTCATTTCTCTTATCTTCTACTTACATTATGAAAGCTTTGAAATATAGGATGATTTTGTGAGTGAATATGAACCTCTGGCCAAGTGATACTTGCATTCTTCAAGTACCACTGGGTCCTTCAATCACATATTACTTTATCCACTCTGAAACCTCTTGAGATTCATAGGACTCTTGCCCTAAATTACTCATCTCGTTTTATTTTTTCTACCCACAGAACCCCAGGAAACCAACTGGTGAACGTAAGTAATATGTCTATCTCTAAAAAGTACTTCTTTCCCTTTTCCTTAAGGACCCTAGACCTTGTCTCTCATTTTACACCATTTGGCATCCACTCTTAAAGTTCAGTACCAAGAAAGAGAGGGTAATAATGAACTAAGAGGGTGGTCTTAAAAGCGTTGTTCTCTGCCATTGCATAGCTCTAATTTTTCATCAGAGAATTACCCAGATCAAAAATCCAAAGATTTTGCATTTTTCCCATAGCATAGTTTGCTTTTTTCCATTGCCTAATATCCTAGATCAAAGATTTCAAGATCACTTTGTAATATTTAATGCAATGTTCTCTTCATGTCTCTGCACTGTGGGTATTTCTCTCTCTCTCTATTTTTTCACGGAATCTCTGTATCTGGTCTTCCTCTGAATCTATATCTTTGTCTCTCTGTCTCTTTTTCTCTCTCTCTCTGCCTTTCACACACACACACACACACACACACACACACACACACACACACACACACTTTTTCGCTCTAGCTTTCTCCCTCCCTTCTACTTTGACCTTTCAAAGAGTGAAATTTCAGAAAGCACAGGAGAAAATGGAGGGAACACACTATTAGGAATTCAAAAGGACAAATGCTTATTCAAAATATTTGCACCTAAAACACAAAATGAAGAAATGCTTCATCCTGGCCATAATTTCCCCCTTTGCACAAAGGCTCTTTGCTTCTTCTAAGGAAGGAGCTATCTCAGACCTAGCCACAAGCCTACTCACGCCAATATCTTCAAGGAGAGAAGAGAAGAAGAAATAGGTAGTGTGGAAAGATGTTTCTATTCTTTAGAGATGTGCTGAGATCAGGTTGAACATAATATCTAAGTTTTCCACCCGTTTTATATTTCGGTCCTTCATTTCTCTTATATCTTCTACTTACATTTATGAAAGCTTTGAAATGTATGGGATGATTTTGTGAGTGAATATGAACCTCTAGCCAAGTGGATACTTGCATTTTTCAAGTAATTCCACTGGGTCCTTCGATCACATATTACTTTATCCACCTCTGAAACCTCTTGAGATTCAGAAGGACTCTTGCACTAAACATCACTCATCTTTTTATTTTTTCTACCCCAGGAGAACCAGGTGCACCACCTGAAGGTAAGTAATATGTCTATCTCTAAACACTCCTTTCTTTCCCCGTTCCTTGAGGACCCTAGACCTTGTCTCTCATTTGAAACCATTTGGCACATCCACTCTTAAAGTTCAGTACCAAGAAAGAGAGGGTAATAATGAACTAAGAGGGTGGTCAGCTTAAAAGGCTTTGTTTTCTCTTGCCATTGCATAGCTCTCATATTTCCACCAGAGATTTTTCCAGATCAAAAATTCAAAATTATTTTGCCATCTTTTCCCAAAGCATAGTTTGCTTTTTTCCATTGCCTAATATCCTAGATCAAACATTTCAAGATCACTTTGTAATATTTAATGCAATGTTCTCTTCATGTCTCTGCAGTGTGGGTATTTCTCTCTCTCTTTCTCTGTGTTTTCACAGTCCCTCTGTGTCTGGTCTTTCTCTGAATTGATATCTTTATCTCTCTGTCTCTGTCTCGCTTTTTCTCTGCCTTTGTCTCTCCCTCTGTCTCTCTCTCTTTCACACACACACACACACACACACACACACACCCATACACACACACATATTCTCTGTATCTCTCTCTCTCCCTTGTACTTTCACCTTTGAAAAAGTGAAATTTCAGAAAGCAAAAGAGGAAAAGAAGGAAATGTAATATTAGCAATTCAAACAGACAAATGCGTATTGAAAATATTTGTACCTAAAACACAAAATTAAGAAATATTACATCCTGGACATAATTTCCCCCTTTACACAAAGGCTCTTCACTTCTTCTAAGGAAGGAGCCATCTCAGACCTAGCCACAAGCCT